CTGCCCCTCCCCCACTTGTGCTCAGTCTCTCTCTCTCTCTCTCAGCAATAAGCAAACATTAAAAAAAATTTTTTTAACTATTAAAAACAGGCTTTACCAGTATATAAATCACATGCGAAAGAAATCACCCGTTTAACGTGTACAGTTCAGCGGTTTTTCGGGTGTTCGCAGATGTGACCACAGTCCATTTCAGAACGTGTTTATCCCCCCCGCCTTCATTCTCCCCGCCCCCTCCCCCCCTCCCCGCAGCCAGAAGCAACCGCTAACCTGTTGTGCTCCCAGGACTGTGACTTTTGCGTCTGGCTTCCACACGGGCACTCGCGCCAGGCTCACCCGCACTCCACACAGCGGGGGCCCGGGTGCCGTTCCCACTGGCCGCCGGAGGGCCGTTTGGTTTGTTTCTCCGCCTGGCTGCTGGCGGCGCTCCCACGTGCGGACGGCTACGGATGTTGCCATGAACGTTCGTGTACACGTTTGGGCGTGGACGGACCCGTTTGTTTCGACTGGGGCTGCGAGGCCACGGCAGTCGTGTGAGGATTTGTCACGTGCTCGCTGGCGCTTGTCGCTTTTAGTCCAGTCGTGCCTGTGGGCACGAAGCGGCGTCCGCCGTGGTTCCGATTTGCGCTGCCCCTAACGGCCGGTACCGAGCACCTCTCCCTGTGTTGCACATTCGTCGGTCTTCCTTGGAGGAGTGTCTGTTCGGGTCTTTCGCTTTTATTTTTCACGTTTGTTTTAAGTAGGCTCCACGCTGGTGGAGCCCGACGTAGGGCTTCAACTCCCCACCCTGAAAGCGAGGCCTGAGCGGAGATCCAGACTCAGATGCTCATCCGACTGAGCCACCCGGGTGCCCCCTCTTTTGCTCGTTTTTAAGTTGGGCTGGCCGCTTTTCTACTGTTGAGTGATGAGGGCTCAGTATATAGTCCAGATGCACGTCCCTTACCGGGTAAATGATCGGCAGACGTTTTCTCCCGTCCCGTGGACGCACTCTTCCACTTCCTTGATGGTGCACTTGGAAGCACAAAAGTTCGGATCTTTGAGAAAGCCCAGCCTGTCTGGCTTTTCTCCTGTCACTCGTGCTCTCAGCATCCCAAGAATCCGTAGCCGAATCGGTCTGTAAGTTCCTTGTGCAGGACCAGATCATTTCTGTTTTTTCTTTTTTAGAGAGAGCGCACACACAGGTGCTTGAGTGGGGGGAGGGGCAGAGAATCCCAAGCAGGCTCTGTGCTGTCAGCGTGAGCCCCTGTGGGAACTTGATCTCACGAGCTCAGAGATCGTGACCTGAGCTGAAATCTAGACTCAGATGCTTAACTGAGCCGCCCAGGAGCCACTTTAGTTCTTTTAATACTAAGAATTATTTAAAAACCAACTTCTGGTTTTCGTTTGTTTACTCACTGGGCGCCCTGCCCTCCCGATCGTGTCTACAGGTCACCGGTGCTCCGGGGGCACTCGCTCTCCTTTCTGAGCTGGTGGCTGATCTCGGCCGAGAAAGTGTGGGGACCCGTCTGCTTGTGTTCTCGGCCACTTTCACCTCTGCCGAGCTGTCCCTTTGGGCAGGGGATCCCTCTTCTCCAAGCTCTCCAGACTTGGAATTCCTAGATTTAGAACAACTTCCAAGAACCCTCCAAGGATGTAACCAGTCTAGCCTGTAAGCCGTGATTCTTAGAGCTGCCCCAGGAATAAATCTTAGGACGTTTTTGTCATCGTTTTTTCCTTCCTCTTTTTACTGCTGGTATTTATTTTACGTACTTCTGGTGGGTAGCTTAAGATTCATCCCAGTGTTTACGTTAGCGTTAGGAAATACTCGGACTTTTTTGAAGAAGAAAACGAAGTTTAGGGAAACGAGGTTTAAACTGAACTTATTCTGGAAGAACAGCTGGTCACCTTAGAAAGCCGCTGTTTGCCGTCCATGCCCCTGGCCTAGTGTAGCACTCGAGTGAGTACATGAGCCAGTTAACATGCTCGGTCCACCCCGATCCCACGCTGGCTTCCGAGTTTCCGCCTGTTCGGTCCTCACCCCCCGCCTCCCCTCAGATTCCCCCAGCTGGTTGTGGAAGCCCCCGGCTGTTCAGAGTGACCCCCACACTGTAAGTCAGGAATGGTTTTACTTTTCCGCGTGGGAGACCGTTTGGAGGGAGAGCTGTCTGGTCCACGGGGCACGTTTTTGGCCCGAAGGGTCTTATCTACACTGTGCTGAAGGGGAGCACGCGGGCCCCCTGCCCCCAGGGAGCTGGCGCTGGGTCGCAGCGAGCGAACTGCGCGAAACCCCCGAGGTTCTGGTCGCGGGAGACGTGTGGCCGCCCCGCCAGCTTGGTAACGCGTGTCCCCGGCGCAGGCGCTGCGGGAACTGGCCCTCAGCTACCGCGAGAGCATCGTGCACGTGCGCACCGCGGCGGAGCACACGGAGGAGAAGCTCAAGGCCGAGATCCTGTTCCTGAAGGAGCAGATTCAGGCGGAGCAGTGTCTGAAGGAGAATCTGGAAGAGACTCTGCAGCTGGAGATAGAAAACTGCAAGGAAGAGCTAGGTGAAGCCGGGCTGCGGCGTGGGGGCACGGGTCGCGGGGACGGGGACCACAGGAAACGCAGGGGGCAAGTGCAGGAAGGAGTGTAGGAAGGGTCTCACGTGTGACTCGTCCAGAGCGAATCCAGATTCAACTGGGCCTTAACGACAGAAGCCGCTCCCTCCCTCCAAGAGCTCCGTGTCAGGAGCGCCCCGCTGGGCCACCGCCCCCTCCTCCCGAGTTCGACGGGGACGTTTGGCGTCCACACGGTCCACGCCACACTGTGTCCGCGTGGCCTCTGCCTGCGCTTGGGCTTGAGGCCGCTGCCGGCTGGTGGGGTTGTTGAAGGGTGTCGGTTCCCCGGGATTGGGGTCTGACCCCTTTCAGTTTGAGCCGCAGGTGACGGGGGGAGGGGCGTAAGCGAAAACGTGAATGTGCAAAATGATCAGTGAGTGCCGGCGCTGCTCCCTTTCCCTTCCAGCCTCCGTTTCTAGCCTAAAAGCCGAACTAGAAAGAATAAGAGTGGAAAAAGGACAGGTGAGTGCCACGAATGTCACATTCACCCCATGGGCGGCCGGTGGGGGGTGGTGGCACCCCCTGGCTGGACACAGGCGACAAACCAGAGTCGGGCCAGGTCCCGCTGCAAGGAGCGGCTGGGAGGCCCTCGGGGTGGGGGCCGCGGGGGGCCCCGGGCGGGTCCTCAGCTGGCGGGTCCTCAGCTCCTGGGTCCGTCTTTATGCCACAGCTGGAGTCGTCGCTGAGAGAGAAGTCTCGGCAGCTGGAGAGCGTGCAGGAGACGAAGAGCACGTTGGGAGAGCAGTTGAGGAAGGAGACGGCCGCGAAGGTGACACTGTCGTTGATCATTTAGTGACAGTCGTGCCAGGCACAGGGAGTCACATCCTGCCTGTTTGGGGAGGAGCGCCACAGCTCAGCATAGGGCCCCTGAGAGCCACCGAGGCTCCCCGCTTGCGGAAGGAGGATGAGATGCCCTTGCTGGAATCGGGTCACGCCCGCGTCCCAGGCCCAGCCCGCAGCCGGAGGCCCTCCCGTCACCGCGTCCTTCCGCGTGCCCGACCTCCCCAGTGTCTGCCGCCCAAGGGGAGTCCAGATACAACCCCAGTGCGTGGGCTTGACCGTGGGGCAGGATTCCTAGGAGGGTCCCCTGGAGCCGCGGGGTCACACCTCCGAGTGCACAGACTTCTGGGTGTGTGGATTGTCCTGGTTAATTCCGAAGTTTCTGTGCACGTTGCCGGGAAAGCTCCAGATCTTAGCAGCTGCTTTCCGCCTTTTGCTGATGAGTCGTGGTCCCCGGGCCACGAGGGGTGAGGGTGAGCGGCGGGACGGAGGGGGGGCTTGGCTTTCACTTCCGGCCATCTTAGGGCGACCGAGAGCAAGCTCATAGGCCACCGGCAGCCGTGCCCGCGGAGGGAGCCTGATGGGCTGGGGGGGGGGGACCCCACCCCTCCCCCGGGTCCCTGGCTGTCCTGGAGGACTGGGACCTGCGGCTCCTTGGCATTAATTCTCAGGCAAAACTCGTATTTTGTAGGCGACTGTGGAACAGCTCCTGTTTGAGGAGAAGAACAAAGCTCAGAGGCTGCAGACGGAACTAGACGTCAGCGAGCAAGTACAGAGGGATTTTGTGAAGCTTTCTCAGACCCTGCAGGTGAGGCACGTGGGGACCCCCGCAATCTGCGGGGCCCGGACTCGACGCCGCCAGTAGCTAGCGGGGTAGAGGCGTGAGAAGACGCACGACCCTGCGGGCCAGACGCCTGGGTGGCACTGGCCACGAGGCCCGTCTCCCGGCGAAGCGCCGCGTCTTCCGCGTACCGCTGACACCCCTCCCGCCGGGCCCGTCCCTACGCTTGGTTTCTCTGTCCGAGAGCCTTTTACATGTTGTGTCCTGAGGTCCCTGAAGGACCGTGGCTCCTTGTCCCCAGTACCGCGTGCCCCCTGGCGTGCACCCTGCATTCCCTTCCCTAGGTTCCCCCGACGGAAACCTACAGTGACAGTATATCGTTCCGGACCCTCGAAGCTGGGTTCTTGTGTTTTCTTGTGACTCAGCTGTACAGTGTTGGGGTTTAGGGGTCCAGCCTCCTCCCCCTTCCCGTGGTCCTAGCACCTCACGGGGCCTGCTGGACACAGCTTTGGGGGGTTAGCCTTTTTTTTAAACTTATTTTGAGAGAGCGTGAGCAGGGGAGGGGCAGGGAGAGGGAGAATCCCAAGCTGGCTCCACACTGTCATCACAGAGCCCGATGTGGGGCTCAAACCAACAAAGCTGTGAGATCGAGAGTTGGACACCTGACGGAGCCCCCGGGGTGCCCCAGAGGGGGTTGTCTTTGGCATGTGCTCGTTCTTGAGGTGACCAGTCTCGGTGAGCCAACGGGCCAGGCCCGGCAGGAGGCCACGCACTTGACTCACTGTCGCCCCCCAGGTGCAGCTGGAGCGAATCCGGCAAGCGGGCTCCCTGGAGAGGATCCGGGCGATTCTCAACGACACCAAGCTGACGGACATCAACCAGCTCCCGGAGACATGACACCCGCCGCAGGACGTGGCCCGCACCCCGGGCTTTTAACTCCTCTTTAGAGCAACATTAATTATTCTTTAACTCTTAACTGAAGAAGTCACAGAACAGGAGGACAGGAGCGAGGCTCACCCGTGGCGGGAGAAGGCCGTGGCGCGGGAGCCGCGAGCAGGACTTCCCAACGGGGACGCTGACGGACGGGAACGGGACTCGGGGGTGACAGAGGAAGTGCTGCTGTAAGACGTCCCTGCCTTTAAAGCAACAGCCCAGTCGCATTTGGAATGACCTTTTCCGTTCCTCGATGCCGGAGAGAGCGCTTCCTTTTCCCGTCGCCCGGCCCTCACCAGTAACAGCCCCCAGCTAGCACACAGACGTGTCGTTTGCTGTATGAATATTTTATATTAAAATACGAAGGTTGAGAGCAGGCCGTTGGCTAGTGACCGAATTTCCGAGCTCCGTGTGTCTCTCTCCTGCCATCTTCTCTCGCGTCGGAGGCCGCAGATGCTACTGAGGCTTGCCGAGTGCGCCCGACGGCGGCAGACGAGACCAGTGCAGGGGCTGGATTAACCGCGAGGACTTGAAAGCGAGGCTGGGCACTCTCTGTGTTGGAAGCCGAGGTTAAAGGAAAAGCACAAGAGACCGGAAGCACTTTCTCTGCCGCCCGGATGCGTCTCGTGGGCCCGCAGGTACCAGGGTTAAGCTGAACTGGCACGTCTACTCTCGAAAACTGTTTTAGTTTAGTTACTGGATCAGTGGAAAAATAATAATAATAAAGCAAGCTATGTCTGACATCTAGTATAAACTTACCAATCTGCTGCCTTCTTTTCAACTCCCATCGGCGGGCCGGGTAGTCTGAGGCATCCAGTACAGACACCTGACTGGGTTGACAAGGTACCTAGTTTCTGTTTCCCTCTCTCAGAGTAGGTCCCGTGTGTCCCTGGGGGACCAGTCAGTGCGGCCGTTGGTGCCTGTGTCAGGTTCGGTTCCTTCCCTTTGTGGGGAAGGTGTCCGCGAGCAGGTGGGCTCCACGTGGCCTCACGAGCGCTGCACCGAGTCCGCCGGCCCGGGCGCGGCGAGGCCAGTGGCTGGGGAGGTGTCCCGAGTCCGCCCGCAGACGGGAACCCGGCTCACGGGAGTGGGGTGGCGGGCTCTGGCTCACGGCCACCGTGGACTTTTCTAGTTTAGCATGAACTGTCCTTGATTCACCAGCCCTAAGAATCGGGAAGTCTGTCTTCCACAGGCCAAGATGAGGACTACACGTCTGATCCCTGGGTCACTGCTGTTCTTATTGATAATCAGGAATTTTAATACTAATTATGGAAATAGTGCTATAGGCTTGCCATGCGTGAAACATTTTAATTGGTTTAAGATCCCTTCATACGAAGTGCTGTTTGGTTTAAAGAACACCTATATCCTCCTTGAATTACACGGGGTTCTAGTTCCAAAATGCAATCGCTTTAAATTCTACATCAAGTGTTAAGAGCAGCCCCCAGCTAATTTCAAGGTATTAAAATTGGCACCAGTAACGAGGCGGGAAATTTGTAATCGCGAGGAAAAGCTGCCAGGGAACCGCGCGGCCGAGACCGGTGCTCTGCGGACCTTTCTCGCCGGAAGAGGCGCCGGCCGGGGACCCCGGATCAGGGACTCCCCGTGGTGTCTAGGGCCGCACAGGCAAACTGTTCAAAGTCCCTCGAGAAAAGCATCCCGTAAAACCCGAACTGAGAGTCTTTCTGGCATGAAACCGTGAGGCTACCCTTGCGGGATACCCCCTTTGGCCGGGTTTTGTGTTGTCCAGTGGGAAACTGAGGCGAAGGCGGGCACCAGCCGTGTGGACAGAGGGAGGGGAGCCGGGGCGCATGACCGTCCGTGCCCGCACGTTCACGCGCGTCTCACATGACCTGCCTCCTACCTGTGACCCACCTCACCGCGTGGCTTTCAGCCGGTGTCGCTCCGCCGTCCCTGGGCAGGTGCGGGGTCACCTTTCGGAGCTCCACGCGCCGGCGGGCGTGAAGGACCGCCGATCGGAACACGGACCCACGGTGACGGTGCTGGGACGGGGCGCGACCCAAGCATGGCTCTGAAAGGTAATCCTGCCTGCGGAGGCGATGGGCCAGCGGCGGCCTCAGCACCGCGGCTCTGAGCCCACACACGTTACACGGAGCCATTTGTACTGAAGGCGCGTCTCGAAGAACGTGTTCAAATTAAAAAGCCGCCACCTTGGGGCGCCTGGGTGGCGCAGTCGGTTAAGCCTCCGACTTCAGCCAGGTCACGATCTCGCGGTCCGGGAGTTCGAGCCCCGCGTCAGGCTCTGGGCTGATGGCTCAGAGCCTGGAGCCTGTTTCCGATTCTGTGTCTCCCTCTCTCTCTGTCCCTCCCCCGTTCATGCTCTGTCTCTCTCTGTCCCAAAAATAAATAAACGTT